AATTTATTTGGGGATGAGCTAAATAAGCAAGTGGAAGAATTGACAAAGGCAAACAAAAGTGGCCTTAAAATCCAAGGTTCAGCAAAGCAGAGGTACCACCCATATGGGCGTGACTCTTCATTTCGTGGCAGGACCAGGCAAAGTTACTCTGGCCGTGGTCGCTCTTCTACTACAGGATCTAAGGTGCCTTTTTTAGGCGCGAACAAGGGAAGGTTTCCCCAGAAGCATCGTTAACAAAAATCAACAATATGGTGAGTAATCAAACAGCATTTATTGGGGGTCAACTTAAATATTTTGTGTACAAATGGAAAGAATTGACATCCGACCCCAAAATTTTGGACATTATTTCACATTGTCATATTGAGTTTTGGGAACCCCCTATGCAAAAACGTTGGTCCACTGTGTCCAAGTTAGAAAGCAAGTTTTGTGAGAACAGATCATAATTGTTTTTGAGCAAACGTGTAATAAGACACTCAGAGTATGAAGAGGATCAGGTCATTTCACCTATATTTTTAAGACCAAAGCCAGATGGGTCTCATCGGGTTATCTTCAACCTAAAGGTCCTCAATGAAAGTGTGGWTTATCACCATTTCAAGTTAGACACCCTAGAATCCATACTCCCATTGATTACTCCTGGATGTTTTATGACAACCCTTGATTTAAAAGATGCTTACTACTCCATTCCAGTTGCATCTGAACATCAAAAATATTTAAAGTTCCTTTGGAAAGGAGTTTTATACCAGTTCTTATGCCTACCCATGGGTCTTACATCATCCCCCAGAATTTTCACTAAAGTCCTGAAGCCAGTGTATGCTTTTTTGAGGGRAAAGTGTGGAGTGTCATGTGCAGGTTATATTGACGACTCGATATACATAGGGGACACTGAAAATACATGTTTGAAGAATACACTTATRGCAGCCCAATTGTTCATATCATTGGGTTTCCATATCCACCCAAAAAAGTCTGTGGTGATGCCTTCCCAAAGGGTGGAATATTTRGGATTCGTAGTTTCCTCCCTTGACATGACAGTGAGAYTTACAGGGAAGAAAATAGAAGCAATTGTTGAGCGCTGTAAGGAATTTCAGCAGGAAAATAAGAAATATCAGATTCAAGAAGTAGCCTCATTGGTAGGAACATTAATATCCACTTTCCCAGGGGTKCAATTTGGGGCCTTGCATTACCGGTACCTTGAGAAGAACAAAATTGAAGCATTAAAACTGTCTGGTGGCAATTATAAGGCTGCTATGATATTAACTAAGGACAGTTTACGAGAGTTGACCTGGTGGGTAAACAATTTGGAATCTAGCGTTCGTAAGATAACTCACGAAGAGCCTCACTTGAGCCTTGCTTGAAGTTGATGCTTCCCAAAAAGGGTGGGGGGCAAAATTGAATAAGATGAAAACGAGTGGGCTGTGGTCTAAAATGGAAACAAGTCTGCACATCAACGGCTTAGAATTACTTCCGATCCGCTGGGGTTTGCTGTCTCTGTGTAATGCGAAACGTGACATACACCTACGCATTATGAGTGACAATGTAACAGCTGTTAGTTACGTGAATGCTATGGGCGGAAGTAAATCGGATGTTTGYAATGGCATTGCAAATGAAATCTGGCAGTGGTCAATAGAACGGAATATCTGGTTGTCTGCAGCACATATACCAGGGAAAGATAACTGTGACGCAGATTTTTTGTCCAGGAAATTTAACCCGAATTTAGAGTGGAGTGYCACTGATGAAGTGTTCAACCGGTTGTTAAGAGTTTTTTCATTTCAACCCTCTATTGATTTGTTTGMTTCACGCCTRAATGCCAAATTATCAGTTTATGTATCKTGGAAAGCAGACCCATTTGCGCGATGTGCAGATGCGTTYWCCATTAACTGGAACTCGGAGTCGTTTTATGCATTTCCTCCTTTTGTCTTAGTGGGACGGTGCTTGCAGAAAATCAGGGGTGATGGGGCTACTGGAATTTTGATTGCTCCTATGTGGCCAACTCAAAGTTACTTTGTTTCTTTATTAAGCATGTTAGTGGACAAACCACGCTACTTCAAAGCAACAAAGAAAACGCTTACAAATCCATCAATGGAAATGGAAGCTCAACCTCTGAAGGTAACTTTAATGGTATTCAAAGTGTCAGGCAATCCCTCATTGAGTATGGGTTTTCGGAGCAAGTTGCCAATGTCATCTTGTCCTCATGGAGGAAGAACACTATTAAGCAATACAATGTGTTCCTCGCCAAGTGGTCAACATTTTGTTTATCAAGACAAAGTGATTCCATGCGATCCCCTATTTCATTGATTTTGGAATTTCTACATGATTTATACTTAAAAGGCTACAGTTATTCATCGCTGAACACTGCAAGATCAGCTATTTCAGCACTTTACACAATTTCTAGTATGGTGGGAGACCAGCATAATGTAGGAAAGCACCCATTAATCTGTCGTTTTCTCAAAGGTGTTTTTAATGAAACTCCTCCTAAGCCCAAATTTCAGGAGGTGTGGCCGGTAGAGCAAGTACTCGAGTATTTAGAGCAACTAATGCCACTTCATGCATTAACATTAAAAGACTTGACAATAAAATTGGTCATGTTGATAGCTTTAGTAAGCGGACAGAGGTGTCAAACCTTACAGTGTTTAGACATTTCAGAGAGTCACATGCGGAAATTMTCTAATTATTTTTGTTTTTCGTTATTGGAACACCTTAAACAGGACAGGCCTGGACGTGTGTTCGGAAATGTTCGTTTGTATCAATATACAGACGAGAATTTGTGTGGTTACAGGACATTGGAACATTATATTAAAGTTACTCAGACATTACGTACGTCATCTAGATTGTTTATATCCTACATCAGGCCTCATGGTGAGGTGTCGTGTGCTACAATAGGAAGATGGCTCAAGTTGTGTCTTGATCAAGCTAATATTGATGTTAAAGTTTATCAAGCTCATAGCACGAGAAGTGCATCTACTTCTAAAGCAGCTCAACAGATCCCAATTGATGTCGTCATGAAACATGCKGGTTGGGCACAAGAATCCACATTCAGGAAATTCTATGATCGACCAACAGCGATCACAGATCAAATGAGTAAAGCTGTGTTGAAAAGAGCTGACAAATAAAGTGTTTAYCATAAATAGTGTCAGTGTGATGGTATTGTGTGTAGCATGGGCATTTAGGGCTCACAACTTTGAAGTCTCATGGTAACCCGGATGTACGTAATGATTTGATAGAATTATAAAATTAAACGAGAMTTACCTTGGAAGTTGAAGTTTGATGGTAGTTCTATCAAATCATTTGTARTACATCGGGTTAACATGCCCATCCCCTTAGCGTTCTTTGCATTCCCTCCCATTGATTATACTGTGCTATTATCTTACTGTTCGCCCGAAATGCTTTAAAGTACTGAGTCACGGCGGTATGTGCGCATCTCATGTT